AAAGTTACAGCTTCTCTGGCCCAAAGTCTATTAGTAAGTCAAGCACGATTTCTTCCAGAAAGTCTCTCCGGATGATCAGAGATTCACTGGCCCTCCATGTCGTTTTTAGACACACTCTACTTCTTTGTTATAACACTGAGTATAATAAATTTCCGTTACTCCCTTCTACTAGTTATTCTCCAGGACCAGAATGAAAATTTCCAGATGATGCCCTTACAAACTCTCACATTCAAAAATTGAAGGCTGGTGTCCAGTAAAGCTTGAAAGCGTGTTTGTTTTTTTTTAAATTAAGATGGCACTACATGCTTAGGAAACTGAGGTAGTCACCATGATTTGGTGCAATTTTGTCAATGATTAGCAAGATTAGACAGAGCTATCCAAATAATGCCAATATTAGTTAATTGTCAAACTTTTAAACTTTTTATTCATTTCATTATCACTCTTATAACTTGGGAAGCAGTACTCTGAGATTATTTCAAGTTAAAAAGTGTTGGGAATTCTTGTCAAGAAACAGAAGAACGGATCGATTAAAGGACACTTGGGAACATATCACCCAAATGCAATGCGTTTGGTTCCAGATTCAAACACACCAAGAGTGAGGGAGGGGAGGATTAGGAGTATCAGGCAAACACGAACACGACTTACTTATTAGACAACAGTTAGGAATTATTGTCTGACTGGAGGATAATCAGGACATTGTAGTTGTGTGTGTGTTTTAAGTCACCTTTTAGAAATATTTTAAGGTACTTATAGATCAAATTATAGGATTGGCTTTTCAGCAAAATAATGGAGGGGGGAGGACATTACAGATACAAGATTGGTGTGTGGCTGTGTGGAGCTAGGTGATAAGTGGATGATAACTCTTTGGGTTTGCTTTTAATGTCAAAATGGTACAAATTAAATTTTCTCCTCCCTTTCACTTGAACTGGTGAAGGTTGACAAGCCAAATCAGCCTTCCAGTCGAGGTTGTTATTGTTTCACTTGTCCCACTTCCTCCCAGTGTTTCTCAGCTCCATTCCTCCGCCTGTCCAGGCCCTTCCTGCCTCCTGGACTTTGCCTTCTGAACTGCTGCCCTTCTGACCTCAAATGTCTGATCATTCGAAGGCACGCAGATCCCACCAGTATTACTGTTCCCTTTCTGAGCCTTATATTTGGCTGAAAACTGAGCACCGGGCTGAGGAGTCTAAGGGCCATAGTCAAGGGTTTCAACAGGCTCTATTCTACCAGTGAGTCTGGTCTCCTTTATGGTTGAGTTTTGTTCCACGTTTTTCTCCCATTCTACCTAGGACCTTCTAATGTGATCCCTTTCAGAGCACTTGGTAGTGGTGTCCAGGTACCGCCTAGTTCTGGTGTCAAGGCCATTGAGACGGAGGTTTATATGGTCCATCAGTCCACTGGACTAATTGTTGCCAGTTTCGATTTCCTTGCAGCCTCCTTTGCTGCACACAGGGGTAGACTAAGAGCTGCACCATGGGTGGGCGCTCATGAGCTTTCGTGACCCCGTCACTCCTCGCCAAAGTAGGATGTAGAACACTCTTTGTGGGCTGTGTCATGCCCGCTGACGTTGGTGTCCATGGAGACAAGGATCCTAACCCCCACTCCGTTAAGGTGTTTGGTTACGTTTAAGAAGTTCTCCTAACTTTTCCCCCTGTATGCTCCACCCAGGTGGCTTACATTTTCCCCTTTACTTTTGTTTATAATTTTGCTTACAATTTTCCATGCTAAAAAGTTGTCAAGTGTCCTATTAATGCCACAGTAGTTTGCAGCAGGTCACTATGCACCAGAATGGACTTGATGGCAGTGAGTGAGTGCCCTGTTCTTAGCAGCCTTGACTCCACTTCCTACTTGGTGGCACATTGGTTTAGGCATGAGATTGATAACCAAAAGGTCAGCAGTTCAAACTCAATAGCCTTCCCACAGGAGAAAGATGAGGCAGTCTGCTCCCACAGAGATTTGCGGTCTTAGAAGGCCTCGAGAGCAG